TACAAATTAATGGGTACAAAAAATACAGATCTTCTTCAAAGACTGGGAGTTTTTACTTTTCACGCAATGAAATTGCGAAAAGAGCTACAAGTATTGTCAATTGTTTAACAATTGTAATTTTATTTTCAAATATAAATAATGTATGTAGATATTATGGGCCGATGGCCTTCTATTATAAATAAAAACCATATATATTTAATTAACAAGTAAAATGAATGCATAACAGAACCTACGTGACAAGTTCTTACTGCTGTAATATATCACTGTCAAATCTATGACCTAGATCTGTGAAAGCTGGCTGTGAAATTAAATTTAAATGTCTGGTTTTAATCCACATGTTGATCTATTCTGACATACATGTAGGAACACTTACATGTACCCATACATGTTTTACTAAATAAATTGACTGAATATTAAAATTCCTGGAAATAAAATTGACTTCATAGGTTTTCCCCAGTAATATACAAAATTGATTGAGACAAAAAAGTGAAAGTTGTTTCCAGTGAGTATGCATAGCATTACTGAACATTTATACCAGACATATAAATCTAATTAATTAATTAATTCATAGGTTTTCCCTAGTAATATACAAAATTGATTGAGACAAAAAAGTGAAAGTTATTTCCAGTGAATTTGTTTTCTAAAATCGAAATTTATTTTGTATTTTGATTATTAAGTCATTAAACTTTTTTTTATGTTTTTCAAAAATCCTGACAACAAATCTTTGGGAAAAAGGACAATTTTACATTTGTAACCGACACAGGCAATGACCAGAAACAAACAAACAAATCCTGGGAATTCAGTATTAAATAGTTGAACTATTCAGTGTAAACAACTAATTTTTTTTAACACATTCTGAGTGCACAGAATTGGACACATAAAACATAGCATGACAATTGTGATATATTACAAAATGTAATACAAATGCACTGAATAAATATCTTGAATATTTAAATGGCCTAACATGTTGCCCATGACTCCGTGTAAAGTGACATGTATATACATGTTCCAGGGCTGCAGGGCACTATATTTTGTACTGTTCAGCATAAATGCCCACAGACATGACACTTTAATAGGTGCTCATACATCGGATTAGTATCGCATACAGGCACTGATCTTGTATATTTATGATAATTATGTATTCATAACAGTGTGGCTGCTATATTGAATTCAGCAATAATTCTATGCTCAGACACAATTGACTCGCCAACCAATAAGGCGCTGTAGAAATTCAATATATATATATATATATATATATATATATACACACACACACACAATGTATACATATCTTTAATACATGTGTACAGGGTTTGCGCTAGTGTCTCGGCAAGACGAGTACCACTTACAAAATTTTAAGAAATAGAAATTTTATCCTGGATAACTTTATTAGAGATTGGACCCCAGCTTGCCTGAAAAACTGGGTCCCACTTCAATAATTGGAGTCAGGGAAACAAAACATGGGGTAAACTCAATCCCTGCAATGTATATATGTATATATTAGATTTAGTATTGATAATGTATAAATGGATTTACAAAGAAATATTTATAATTTTGTCATTTCATTATGTGACATACACTCATTATGTGTTTACACAAAAATTTTAACTTTAACTATAACCTCATTAAAGCGTTGATTTCGAAATGGGTCCCATGCAAGTTGTAAAATGCATCTTAAAAAAAACATGGTTTGTATACACTAACTGATTCAACTCACAATCAGACAGTTGAATTCAGATATAAATTATTGACATTTATAGGAAAACAGACAAACCTAAATACCGACAATAAAAAAATAAGTCAAAATCTGTCACATGAAAAAGAAAATTGCGATTAGGATAATCAACTCATTCAGCTTTACATTGCAAAGTAATGGCCCCAGGGAAAAGCAATTCAATTATGTGCTCTGTTTAGTATATATTACCTTTGCTCGTCCAATTGTATAGGAAGTGACCATAGAGTGTGAATATAATATTCTTACATATCACTTTGAACACTTTCCTGAGTGGAAAAAATGAGCAGAAACAGCAACACAGTAGTTCAGGGTTACAAATGAACAGTAGTTCAAAGCTACTATTTTTTGTCCTGAGGCTAGTTTTCCAAAATTAGTAATCCAAATGGACTACTAGAAATTTATGAAAAAAATATTGTTTTCAAAATTGATATTCCAATTTATAACATGGGTTGCTACATAAAAAGAATAATGAAATATTTTTATTGTATTTGCTCTATTACTAGCACATGCTCTCACAGAGATGACAGAGGTATACAATATGTGGGCAAAATAAAACACATTTAAATAATTCAGTACCGGTATGCGATAAACACAATATTTGGTTTATGTGCATTTCAAGCACCAACATTGACTGATAATACTCTGGCACGAAAACATCTTCATAATGGTAGCCAAACATGACTTCCAAGAAAATATTTAATCTCAATTATCAATTAAACTATATACATTTTTCATCATTCAAGCCTATTTTCCGTGATCAAATAAATGCAAGGTAATCTCTTCTCATTTATTTGTTCAGTTTTGAATAAACTTCAATCTGTAATTAAACTTTATACTGAAAATTTTAGATGCACTATATATACATCAGAGATGTATGCAGAGTAATATTCATATTTACTTCAATTATCAAAGGTATTATACCGCACACCAATCATTTTGGATGTCAAGAGGTTAATATTGATGTTAAATTTCATGTTTTGATGTACAGCATAGTGTATCCAACAGATATACAAATAAACTAATTTTAAATGATATATAATTTTGGTTTCACAGGGGGAATAAAAAAGAATATTTTTTATTCTGATCTCTCACTCTCACTCAAACATTTAAAAATAATAATAAATCTGAATAAAAAGCTAATCTAGTGATAGGGAAATCCGAGGCCCTATTCATTTTACTTATTTTTTTTTTCTTTCTTTTTCATTGAATTACATTCTAATCAATTAATAACCTGCATTCGATACAGTGAAGATACAAAAGTTTGTACACATGTCTAAATTGAATTTGTATGTCCTGACCATTATGCCTGTCCACATACCAGTACACATACATGTACATACACACAACTCTCCTGATCCAGATATGCAGCACAAGTCACAGGAAATACCTGGGGATTGATGACCTCCAGTGAACTTTTGCACATTGTAAAACACTTTTGAATAAATTCACGTCTATTTACAGTAAATTAAAATATTTTAATTGCAACACCACTTGTATTTACTAACTCTTTGCACTCTCTGTGAAATAAATAAATATTTATTGTACCTGCATACTTGGTGATGTTATGTGTTTTGAGGGAGACGGTGAATAGTCATTTGAAATTGTGTCAATGAACTGTTCACATATACAAACAAAATCCATGCCCCAACACGTTTGGTTAGTTAACGTTTTACGAATATGTACTGTTATGTAAACTTAAGTACTATTATGTAAACATTTATTTGTCTTAAGAAGACAGATAAAAGTCTCTCATCATATAAGTGAAATGCATCATGGGAGTACTATAATGTACAGGGTTTCATCTTTTAAAATAATAATAGACCATTTTTCAATTTTTCGTTGATTAAATATTCATGTTCTGATTACCACACATACATGTATGAGAAAACATTACTACAGTATCGACTTCTCCTTTAACTGTAAACCGCTTTAACCATGCAAAAAGTTTGTTGTCAGTCAGAGAAAATCAGGATATTGTAGCAGTGAAGATTTTAGTACGGTCTTCAAGACAAATGCCGTCCTTACGTATACTTTCAAATTATGACATCGTGATCATAGGAGTAGCAGCAAAAATGTTTAATAATTAAACAATAAACATGCAGGCTGTCACGTTTGTAGTGGGAGGGGGAGTTTAGTTATAAACAATTCATACAGTACACCAGTGTAAAAAATAGAGTTTGTTCTGAGGTACATCCATGATCCTCCATAGTGTGTGTGCGTATACCGACATGAGGTCAAGAACACAAAATGTAAACAGTTCTGTATTGACATGCGTGGGTTTATAACTCTTTGAGAATAACTGTTTATTTTCGCCATACAATGTTTGTTGATGTCACGAGGAACTACTGCCAGTACTACAATTACCCCGGTGTGATGTCCTAATAGTTGATAAAAAAAACGTAAAACATTTTATAATCACAAGATCAGGAAGAAGACGTGGCCCAACCCATCAACAAACATACTCTGGCAGTTAGAACTGAATTAAATCACCTACCTTGGGTTTATAAAGCCATCTGCGCAGGGAATACATGATGACGGGGCGTTTAGGTAGGTTTTAGTGGTAGAACATCGTCAACGGACGGAAATAAATGTGTGAAAACGCGAAAGTTATCTTCACAGCCCTAGCATGTTGTCCCCATCTGAGTAAATTGACCTTTTGACCTAGTGTATTGCGCATGCGTTTTAACATAATGACGATCTGTGTTGGTTCTATAAACTGCTTTCTGATTCGCTGTTGAAATGTAGCTATGAGATCACTTTTTTAAATACTTCTTTACACGAGTATTATATTTTCATTTCTTTAAACTAATTTCAATGATGTGATAATTTGTAATTAATTGGAACAACAATAATAACATTTGACCTATTTTCATGTTTGGAAAAGGAACAAAAGATTGGACCAATCACAATTGATCACTAAACCAAGGTCGCAAAGATAACAACACTCGACACCGGAAACTATCGGTACAGGAGTTTGACCGCTGAATGCGTTTGTAACGCTTGCGGTTCCAATACCGATACTGTACAGTTTTTGTGAGCAAGTCAAAATTCTCCTAATACAATACAGCAATGAAAAGAAGGTGACGAAAACAGCAGTATGAATTTAAACGGAATTCGATGATCAAGTCTGACTCATCGTTTATATCTGGACCAACCGGGATCATTACTCCTATTACTCGTGAAATTTACATGTGAAATGCAGTGAAACAATCGGCCAAAATTTAAATCTCATGTCACAGCGTACTATTTACAGCAGGGGTTTTGTGCAGCTGGAACGGTATCACTTGCCAACTGTTAAACAACGTGCATTGCTAAAGTGCACCATTATTTTAATCACGACTCCTTGAAGTACAACAGCTGTCGCAATACTACAGGTTGTCGAATTCCACCTATCAATTCCTGGTGATATTGTTAGAATGAACACCGACATTTCGGCTCCATCCGACAGCGGATGTCAAAACACAGGTCTTGTGGATCTATGTGAAAATACTAAAAACAGTGAGTCTGTTGCTGGCGAAAAGAAGCCCACACAAAATGAGGTCACAGTAGAAGACGACCACAAGACAACTAGGTAAGCCACGATTATACTAATTACACACTATTGAAATCGTTTCCTTTTGTTTGTAGGAATATGACAGCAATATAATAAAAAAATGCAATGCAATACATTTAATTGAATTATAAAATAAAATATCCCCGTTATATCATTATTTGTTCACAACATGCATTGTTTTGTTTTTCAAATTTTGCAATATTGAATTGAATATTAATTTTTATTTCTATAGGATTTCAGTAGAGTTGCATTTGAACAAATGATTGCTATCGGACGAATTTCAATAGGATTCTTTCCAATAGGACATTGTTTGTGTTTGTTGGATATTGAACTTTCTTTCACAATTCCTGAATTTATTTTCTCAGTAAATCAGACATACCAGTACCTCAGTGTACATCACGTGAAGCTGTAACACAAAAGAATGAAGCATGGAGCTATAAACGGGGAACCATTGTTTCACCAATGGTTGAAACCAGTAAAGATATTATTTTCATGAAAGATGATACAATTGCTAAAAAGAAATGTTGTACTAAACAGGTAAATCTAGAACCATGAGCAAATAAACACACATTTCAATCACCTGTCCCAAAGCTTAATTCTTTTGCACTTTGATTTATTGGCACACAATGAAAATTTCCGATATTATGAAATACTGTTTTCTGGTGTGTAACATTTGATTAAAATTGGCAAATTGACATTGATATTATTACATCATTCTTTGTCATGTTTTGTAATTACCGGTAATGTACCCAGCATCTGAATAATACAAAAATTTTGCCAAATCCTTAGTGGGTAAAGCTGGGTCTTTATATTTGTTCATGTCTTTGGGTGAACCAAGCCTTTCCAAAGAATGGAACATTTTTGTCAGATTATACCGTAGTTGGTTGCTTTTTTTTATGCTGTATCTCTGACTAAACTGAGGCTTCAACAATAATTAAAGTAGGTTCTTTTTCTATTGATATGAAAAATAAACAAATACATGTTCTGTATACCCTCAAACTACTTTAAATTTTACCATTTACTTTAAACCAGACAAAACTGGCATAACTTCCTTGGTCCCCCTCACTCCTTATCCTAACCCTGTCTCTCCAGTGCCCAGGTTAGGTTAGGAGGGGAACTCTTCCCCATTAAATGAATGAACTATACCTAAGGCATTTCAAAATGCATGTGCTTGTGAACATAAATGACTTCTAAACACTGAACTTTTGATCTAATCTTTTTTTTTCTTCTCACTGAAAAAAGAAATACCTACTTGAGAAATGTGTGTTTTTGATATCGGTTACAAGTCTAGTACTTTGGGCATATGGACTGTTCAACTATCATTGGTTATTGCCATATTATTACACAGTGGTCTTGCCATTACTAGTGGCCATCAGAGTATGGATATACTGGACTAAGAAATGGCAATGGTTTCTTTTAGATTTCTGCTATTTTGCAAATGCTATGACCATGATATATATTTGGTAAGTAATTTCATTTTCTGTTGAAAGGTTACTTTGGTAGATATAATATTATTATTTTCTCATGATCATCTAATCTTATTTTGGTTTGACATCAGTAGATACAAGTGATGTAACCACCAGAGTTGTACATCAGTTCAGGCCATTCCACAGTACATATGGTACAATTATAGTTATTGTCTCCCTGTAAAACCTCTCTTCTGCAACATAAATTGGACTATTGGAGTATTGAACTATTATTATTATTATTATGGGATTAGGGCTTATACCGCTAATTCAACCAGGATATATCTGCTAGTTATATCACTCAATATGGGAACATTTCTAAGCGATTCATTGGAAAGAAGAAAACAAACTGTACATTGTACAGTTATGCTGGAAATCGAACACTATAACCCATTTTGCAATACAATTTGTGAAGACTAAATGTTACAAACTTTTGATAATTTTCCCCCAAAATGCTTTTCCCACAAAAATAAAGATATCTAACAATTCAACTTTTGCTGTGTGAGGTTTTTGTCCTAATCTGATATTTATTACTCTTTACTGAAATCTGTTTCATTCATATTAATTACAGGTACATTATGAATATAATAACACACAATGATGAGCTTTAATGACCGCAACAATTGTAAGCAGACGTTATGCTGTAATGCTCCACCCCACCCCCTCCCAAACATATGGAAATAGTGTGTAGTGAACATGAACAAACAACATACAGCATATATTCTGCACACATATGAAGCCATGGTACCGTGGTCAGAACATGGAAGGTGCTAACATTAGTACCTTCCATGGTCAGAACGACCTACTCATAATACTCTCTAACTGTTAAGTGCTTGATTACTAATGACCTACATTTTTTTTCTTTTTCAGGGTTATACCAAATCATGAATTCATGTTTATGTTAGTGTTCGCGCTGGCAAATGGACCACTTATATGGGCCATTCTTATATACCGCAACTCATTGGTATTTCACAGTTTGGACAAAATGACTTCTGTTTTCATTCATTTGCTTCCTGCCTATCTATCATTTGGTTTGCGATGGTATCCAGAATCTATATCTCTTCATTGGTACAGGCCATTTGTAATCGACCCACCACCACCAGATTTCATATGGCTAGTGGTTGTACCACTCAGTTGTATTGTGTTCCACGGTGTAAGTACACTAAATATATATGTAAAAACTATGAATGCTTTCTATAAATGTCTTGTATATGTTTGATTTTCCAACTTCTAAATCAACTTTATAAACACATTGCTTTAAATTTCATGACTATCCTACGTTATACATTACACTTATAGTCGAGAATTAGCCAAATTTAGAACAAGTAATCATAGATTAGTGTGGGGGAAGGGAAAAGGACACGTCATGTAAACTAGAACTCAATCTTGTTTATTCTTCAACAACAACGTAATACAGATGTCAACTCGTAAACAACTGGAAAGCAACTGCTCAAATTGAGCGCAAAAACATACAATGTTGCCAATTGCTAATATCGCGTCAAGTAACAATTTGTAGGGCAGGAGGCGTTCTCATTGCCCGATTACGAATATGGTGATCACTCCGACATTCAAAACAAATATTGGCCAAATTACAACTGGGTGTGCTAGTTTCTCATAGCATTACATGCAAAAAATGAAATACGAAGAAAACATGGTTATGAATAAAAGATCAATAATTGAAATGAATCTCCACACAATTAGCAATAGAAACTGATCGCTATACGAGACCCAAGACACCAATGGAAGAGAGACTATGCACACATTGTAACCAAATAGAAGATGAAATACACCGCTTAATAAATAGATTGTAATTTATTACACAGAATATAGAAACACTTTGTACAATGCCATAGGATTAATCAACCAAGACTTCAGAAACAAGAACAAAAGAGAAAAATTTGACTATATAATGCAATCAAGAGATAAGACAATTATATATGCTCTAACTAAATATTTGTTTCAATGTAAAAAAACACTGTCAAAACTTATCAAAGTAAGCAAGAAAAGACTAATTAATCAAAATACTAGTAATATAGTTTAATGTTGCTATTTTTATTCTTTTCTTTTTTTTTTTTCTTTTTTTTTCTTTTCTTTTCTTTTCTTTAAGCACTATTCTATTCTATATTCATATTACCATACAGCATCATCAATTACATATTAGAAGCACACATGTTCACATGAATGTCCTGTTAAAATAACACTGGTTACAGTAATATTGTTTTTTACTATAAACTGATTCTCATATTTGCAGCTCGTGTATCTTATCCTAGTACATCTTTTGATAAAGTAAGTGTTCTTAATCAAAGTAAGTGTTCTCTGGTGCCACTATATAAGTTACCTTTTTGTTTGTAATTCAATCACTTATCTTAAAAATTATCTATGTTGATATAAAACAAGATTCGATACAATTTACAGGTATTTCTAAAATATAAGTTTTCTGTTTTATAGTTTTGTAGTTTTATCACCATTACACATTCAACAGTGTCCAACTACTGTAAAATGACTAATTTTCCCTGGGTTTAAATTTCACTGATTTACCATTTCAGGCATATTCAGTGGGTTTTAAATTCACGGTTTCGTCATTTAGATAATGTGTTCTATGCTAAATTTTACATATTCACTGTGTTTTAATTTAGCGCATTTTTCCAGTCAGCGAAATAAGCTAAATTAAAACCCAGTGAATAATTACCCCCTTTACAGTATTCGCTAAAACTTTATTGATAATTGTTTATTATATTATATTAATATGGGTAGATACAGTGTAGTATCTATTCAAATTCTCATTGGTACAAGAAATCTTTAAATACATTAAATTTGCCAGAAATAAATCTAACTTCCTGTAAAAAAAATTTGGCCAACATTTTCAGCATTTTTTTTTTCACAAAATTAATGTTTGTACTTCCATGAGTTAAGGAGTATTAACCTAATACCATAAGCCTGCACAAATGATATAATAAATTACTTTATTAATTAAGATTGATTTAGTATTTATTAGTCCCTGTTCGGACATAGTCTTAAAACAGGGACTTATGGTTTGCCCTGTGTGCGTCTGTGCGTCTGTGCGTCCGTGATCACCTGTATCTCGAACATGCATGGACCAATTAAGTTCAAACTTCACTCATACATCACACATTATATTGGACATATGCACATGCATTTTTTTCATGATCCGATTAACGATAGCCGAATAGCGGCCATTTTAAGGCCGAAAATGCATCAAAATCGCACATTTTCACCATTCCGGACCCGGATCTCAGTTATGCATGGACAGATTTTGTTCAAATTTGGTACATACATTAAACATAATAGGACCTTGATGTAAATCATTTTTTTTGGGATCGGGTTTGAAATGGCCGACTGGCGGCCATTTTGTTTTAAAGAATTCAGTTCTGGATCCGTATCTGAGACATGCTTGGATTGATCGAGTTCAAACCTCACACACACAAGGTACATCATGTCACAAATATGTATGTGCATTTGTTTCATGATCCGCTTAACAATAGCTGAATGATGGCCATTTTAAGGTCGAAAATGCTTCAAAATCACGTATTTTCACAATTCCGGAACTGGATCTCAGTTATGCATGGACGGATTTTGTTCAAATTTGGTACATACATTAAACATAATAGGACCTTGATGCACGTCATTTTTTTTTTTCGGATCAAGTTCGAAATAGCCGACTGGCGGCCATTTTGTTTTAAAGAATTCAGTTCTGGATCCGTATCCAAGACATGTCTGGATTGATCAAGTTCAAACTTCACACACACCTGGTACATCATGTCACAAATAGATATGTGCATTTGTTTCATGATCCGCTTAACAATAGCTGAATGATGGCCATTTTAAGGCTGAAAATGCTTCAAAATCACGTATTTTCACAATTCCGGAACTGGATCTCAGTCATGCATGGATGGATTTTGTTCAGATTTAGTGCATATATTAAACATAATATAAGCTTGATGCACACCAATTTTTCTTCGGATCAAGTTAAAAATGGCAGACTGGCAGCCATTTTGTTTTAAAGAATTTAGTTTTCGATATATGTCTCGGACATGCCTGGACAGATCAAGACAACACTTCACACACATCATACAATGTGTTGTACATATGCAGGTGCATTTCAGATCAGACCACTGAAAGTGGTCTGAGATTTCGTTCATGATCTGCTTTGAATGTATATGTCACTCAAATATGAACGGAACGGGGATGTGTCATTGACAATGACTTGTTATTAATGCTTTATTGTTACACTCTTTTTATCAGAATTCCCGTGCAACATCTCTTGGGAGAAGGGACTGCTATGCAATCGAATTTGTCTATGTTTTTTGTAGAACCCTTTTTCAGCCAAATTTACCTTTTAATGAATGTTTAATTACACTTTTCTGTTAGTATATTTCATAGAATTTGCTGATATAATATTTTTGATTTAAAATTTTACTTGCAAAATGTATGATTCCTAATTTCCCTGACACATTGGAAAGCATAAACAAATAGTTTTTTTAAAGATGGTGAACCAGCAATCAAAGTTTTTGTGAGGGTGGGACCAAATTTCCCTTTTAATTAACATTTCTGTTATTTTTACTCATGAAGTTGTGTTTTTTATTTAAAATACGAGCAAAAATTATGATTCTTAGTTCCTCCGAATGTAAACTAAACAGAGATCCAGAGTGTCTTGGCTGTGAATACTTTTTTAAAACCTGTTCTTAACTTAATTACTACTCTATTTAATTTTTTAGTTAACGTAGTATTTTTAGTTTAATAAATGTACTGGTCGTAGTTACGCCAATGTACTCTTCTAAATGTTGAAGTCATGTCTTCCCACCTTCTTTGCTTTTGTGTTATTTGAACTAGATTCACCCAAATCAAAATATGTTCAAAAACATCTTCAAAACATTTTCAAATTCTCTGTTGTAACTTTTTGGACATTCAATAACATGCGAGGAAGCCATCTTGAAAACAAGCTGTACCACTGATTTACATAATAATGAACAGACTACACAACAAGATGTACAGTATGCAGGAAGTGTCCTAATTTGAAAAAAACGAGTTGCATGTCCCTTTTATATAGTGTCTTTGGTTAAACATGACATGCATTCTTTTTGTATGTATTTTTGTTTTGTATGTATGGGTATAAATTCATGTTTCTATTCTGCAGACCATCAGAAGACTATCTGGATAGCTACAGGTATTTTATATCTGATCAGAATAGTATCTACTTCAAAGCAGTCAGTATATTTGGAAAAAAGTAAGTAACCATTAATCTCCAATGAAAAAGTATTTATTATTATTTTTTATGAAGTCCCTATGCTTATAGTAGTTGCTTATAGTGATTGGAACAAAAATATTGATCACAGGATTCCATTCTTTTATTTAATTTGGTTTCTGCATTTTTGATGCTACATGTTTGGATTTGTTTTTTGTCCCTGATTAGACTACTGATGTTTTGACCTATGTGTGTGCATGTCATTACATGTGACAGGTCGTATATACATTAAGCATCTTGGGATACATATGCACATTCATTGGTTTTGCAATCCGATTCAAAATGGCCTAATTTTTGTGCTTAAAATTCATCAAAATCAAGCATTTCAGCCATTCTGGAACCAGATCTTGGTTATGTATTGATAAACATCAGACATTATGATGAATCACTTCATTTTGTTTCTCGGAACAAATTAAGAATGGCTGATTGGTAGCCTTTTTGTTTTAACAAATGCTTTTCCAAAGCCATATCTCTGAAAGGCTTTAGCATAATGTACATAATGTCACATGTGCATATGTATTCATTTGACAATCCAATGCAAGATGGCTAAATGACAGCTATTTTACCAGTAATGTTAAAAATCAAGCATTTCTGCAATTCCAAAACTAGATCAAATCAAATTTGGTGCAACCATTGGACAATTCATGTAAGAGACCCCATGCATGTCTTTTTGTTTTTGAGATCATATTCAAAATGGCCGTCTTGTGTATATATGTTGTTTTAATGAAGGCTGTTCCAGAGCTATATGTGCATCTTATAACACATGTATATGTATTCATTTACTGATCCAATTCAAGATGGCTGAATTGCATTTCTTTTCAATGTTAAAAGTTCATCAAAAACAAAATCTTGATCTTGCTTGTGCATAGAGAGATTTTGTTTATACTTGGTTGAAAGTTGAACTTCAGGGAATTTCAATGCACATTATGTTTGTCAGATTGAACTCAAAAAATAGTCGATTGGTTGCCATTTTGTTTTCAATGAAGGTAGTTCTGGAGCCATATCTCTGACATGCTGTGACTGTTCATATTCAAATTTAAATGTTTCATAAATTTGAGAACTCACAGGGACTATGTTGTGCAATTACTTGTTAATGAAATTTGCTAACAAAACAATATTTTAATTTTGTTTGCAGATATCAACTGTACATGTACTTTGTATGTTCCTGGCTATGTAGTCTAGCTACTTTACTGCTATGCAGACTGTGGTACCAGTATTTCATTGGCCATGTCATCATCCTTTCTCTGACCTTCATTGTGATGGTGTGGAATGGTGGCACTTTTTATT